GTGCTCTTTGGTCTCCGCGGCAGAAGCAAGATGACAAAGGGGACGTCCTCGTTCAGCAAGCGCTGCAACAAGAGGGCAACAAGAGGCACACGCTGTGCCACCGCTGGGGCTCCAAGGCCTAGCACCTGCAGAAGTCCACCTGCGGCAAGTGCCGCTACCCCGCCAAGCGCAAGAGGAAGTATGACTGGAGTGCCAAGGCTAAACGACAGGACACAACCGGTCGCATGCGGCACCTGAAAATCGTGTACCGCAGGTTCAGGCATGAATTCTGTGAAGGAACAACTCCTAAACTCAAGAGGGCAGCTGTTGCCGCATCCAGTTCATCTTAAGGATTTCAGTGATTAGTCGCGCAATAAATCTGGGTTTTCAATAAAAAATAAAAAGAATATGAGTATGGTCCAATCGGCGTGGCTCAGAGCTTGAGCATCCACCTATGAACCAGGAAGTCACAGTTCGATTCCCAGTCAGGGCACATGCCAGGGCTGCAGGTTCAATCCCCTTTAGAGGGTGTGCAGGAAACAGTCAATCGATTATCTTTCTCTCATCACTGATATTTCTATCTCTCTCCCTCTCCCTTTCTCTCTGAATTCAATAAAAAACAATCAGCCCAGTGGGTGTAGCTCAGTGGTTGAGCAGTCAACCCATGTACCAAAAGGTGGCTGATTCGATGAGCACTCATATGAATGTCAACTGATTTCTCAACAGAAACTTTGCAAGCCAGAAGGAAGTGGCAAGAAAGATTCAGAGTGATGTATAGCAAGGACCTACAGTCAAGATTACGCTATCCAGCCCTGACCGGTTTGGCTCAGTGGATAGAGCGTCGGCCTGCGGACTGAAAGGTCCCAGGTTCGATTCCCGACAAGGGCCTGTACCTTGGTTGTGGGCACATCCCCAGTAGGAGGTGTGCAGGAGGCAGCTAATTGATGTTTCTCTCTCATCGATGTTTCTAACTCTCTATTCCTCTCCCTTCCTTTCTGTAAAAAATCAATAAAATATGTATATAAAAAAAAGATTACTCTCTCCAGCAAAGCTATCATTTTGAATTGAAGGTCAGATAAAGAGCCTCACAGACAAGAAAAAGCTAAAGGAGCTCATCACCATCAAACCAGTATTACATGAAATGTTGAAGGGCATTCTCTTTTTTTCTTTTTCTTAAATATATTTTATTGATTATTTTTTACAGAGAGGAAGGGAGAGGGATAGAGAGTTAGAAACATCGATCAGCTGCCTCCTGCACACCCCCTACTGGGGATGAGCCTGCAACCAAGGTACATGCCCTTGACCGAAATCGAACCTGGGACCCTTTAGTCCCCAGGCCGACACTCTATCCAGTGAGCCAAACCAGATAGGGCAAAGGACATTCTTGAAGAAGAACAGCAACAACAATAAAATAGCAATAAATACATATCAATCAACATTTGAAATCAATAAACAAACAAGGAGTCTAATAAACAAAATAAACCGATGAATACAATAGAACCAGTGGCATGGAAACATGGTACAGACAGATGAATCTCAGAGGAAAGGGGGGAGGAGTCATTGGGAAGAGATTAACCAAAAAATTTATATGCATATATGCGTTTGCTATGGTCACAGACAATAAGGTGGAGGGGGCCTAGAGCACGACATGAGCTGGATGGAGGGTGGCAATGGGGAAGGGGGGAGAAGGACATCTGTAAGACTCTCAACAATAAAGATTTCTTGTAAAAAGAATGTGACAGACTGTCAAACTACAG